CAAATGAGTCAGTCCAAAAAAGCACATGCAAACAACAAAACATCTGCAGACATAGGTACAAGTGTTATTAGTATGGAATTTAAAATAATGCAACTATCCACTTATTTATTTTGGGTAAAATATTGTGATTTTTTCAATATAATATCATATGTTTTTATTTCTAAATATATCATCAATAGTCATTGTTCACTGGTCATTGTTCAAGTAAATGTCCACCGCCACTGGACATTGTTCAAACTAAATATCCACTATCACTGGACATTATTTTTGCCGCTAGACATTATTCAAGTACTAGTCAGGAAAATAAAAATATTTAAGAACTACTTTAATTTGACAAATGATATATGTTTTAATATTATTTAGTGCAAATTTTACTTATCTCATTCCCACCAAAATAAAGTTAATGGCTAATACTCGGTATGTTTTTTTATGCATCTATATCGCATGAGGGTTTACTTTTTTTTTGCTCCACTAGATTAAATATTATTCCCGGGTATTATTACCTTCACCCCAAAATAATCACTACAAAAATAAGGGAGTAAATTCTATAATTGGTCATTTATAACAGGGGATTTCCATATTTAGTCCTCTGTTATCAAAAATATTACCCTCGTAGTCTTTTTTTAAGGGTACATTTCCACAAATAGTCTTTTTCTATCTTCTATCATGTTGGTTAATTTAAAGTCTAAAAGTATAAATTGACATCAACATTATGTCTAGTGACGTGTTCTGATAGTGGTTAAGCAGATAACACAAAAATAATGACTATGATTGTGGGCTAGGATTCCGAAAGACCACATTTGTAGACTATGATTGTAGTAGAAAGTGACTGTAATTCACAATCGACGCAAACAGAACAACCTTTGGAATTGTGTATGACAAAAAAAATATATTATCATTGTGAAATCACACTTTTAGTCCTCAAATTAACATCCACATAATAGAAGATCAAAAAAGGACTATTTGTGGAAAGATACTCATAAAATAAGTACCACTGGAGTGATATTTGATAATAGAGGACTAAATAGGGAAATTCCTCTATTATAAAGAATCAATTATGGAATTTACTTAAAATAAAGGTAAGTGGGGACAGGGATTGGTGCGGTAGCTTGCCCAACAAACCCGCCGGAAACACATTTGTGATGATGTCGTTACGACGGATCCCGCCATCACAACATATGTTGAATTTGAAGATTTTTTCCTCTTGTCTTTGTGACGGTGTTTATGAGTTTTTAACATTTAATTTTTTTCCCATCAACCCTTTTTCGGAACACTTACATTGTGACGGACGTTGTAATCCCAAAGATGTTCAAAAAATCATTTTAGAATTTAGATCTCTTAAAATTCACCGTCCTCTACTTTTGTGACGAAAAAATGCTATCACATATTAACTAAATTAAAACAAAAAATTTGAATGTTTTACTAGAAATCACCCTAAATAGAACTAAAACATAGAAAAAAAATTAAAATAGTATTTTCATGTTTTTTTCCAGAAATAGGATCTCACACTGTGGTAATACGGTTGTAATGTTGCATTGTACATGTACATATTACTATACTTTTTGGTAATGTACATGACCATGTTTGGTAATGTAAATGCATTTTAAGTCATATTTCGGGAATAAAAACATAGAAGTCCTATTTTGATATAGTTTTAATGTTTTAATCCTACTTTAGTCTTTTTCCCTTTTTTCACAATGTTAATACTCTTTTCTGTTAGTTTAAGGTGTTGGCTAGTCTTTAGGCAAAATAGAAACTCATGTTTGATAGGAGTTTTACTAGGTAAACCTCTACTTCTTAGAAGAGGTTTACTTTATTTCGACTTCTAGAGCTGCTACTGTTTTTTAGGTTGACACAGAAGATGTTACAACACAATGCTGCAACACAGTGTACGGGATCAAGAGTTTGTGCATGGGATTTTAAGTTGTGATATACAATTTTCGGATTTAGAAACTTATTGGGATTGTAATTACATGCTGGGATTTATTTATAATAAATCCAGCTAGTATTTAGAAGGCCTTAGGCTACTTGTGGATTAAGATTAAAGTTGTATTCAAGACAACTTCTACAAACATATTCCTGCTAGGATTGTCTTTGGAGAAGCCTATAAAAATGCAGCAGATCCATGGGAATTCCTTGGAGCAACTGAGAGGGAAAAACACAGAATATACGCTTAAGAAGAACGTTTTCATCGCGTCCCGAATCTTCCCTTGCGTGAAAAAAGTTACGATCTACATGAAGGGGTCCTACAACGAAAAACATATCGTGACAACCAAGAGGTGAACCAGAGCTAAAGGAGAGGACTGCCAACACGTATGTCCTTGTGATCTCGGTGGAGATGTGATAGCCAAAGCAGATCTACACAGGGTTCAGGTTAGAATACTAGATTAGAAGTTTTGTCATAACAATTTGGAGAAGTGTGTCTCATTATGTTGTTATGTGCCAGTGTAACTTGCATCTAGTGATTTAGTAGAGAGCTTTTACATGGACGTGGTCCCCGTAGAGTAGGAGATTTCTCCGAACCGTGTAAACATATTTGGTGTTCTTTTTAAGCAATTTATAGTTACAACATTTTGTCCATTAGGCGCTGTAACACCATCCACATAATTTACTTGTGTGTGTAGGGGTGTTCATAGGTTTAAGACCGGACCAGACCGAAAACCGAACTATGCTAAAATTTAGATCGAAGACCAGACCTAAATGTAGTCAGTTTTGGACCGAACTGACCCAAAATCTAGTGGACCGAAAAGACCGAATCCAGGTGTGGCCGGAATTGAAACTTTCCCCACCAGCAAAACCCTAGGTGTGGAAAATTGGGGGTTTTGCAATCCCGAACCAAATGCTGCAATTGAGGAGTCAAGGTGGGTCGTAAAGATGTCAGGAAGATGCCTGGGTGGGTGTGCGACGTCGAATTTGCTGGAGGTGGCCGGAATCTGCAAATACCCCCCGGAAACCGTCGTGACGGGTCGCAACTGATTCCCAACAATTCCGGGGTCCAAATCCCACGATGCTAGTGGTGATGGGGTCGTATGGACCTCAGGATGCGTTTGGGAGTGTTAGGGAGGCTCACCGCTGCGTGGGGTGGCCGGAGCATATGGGGCAGTAGCATGGACGGCGACTGCTGCGATATGACGTTTCCCGGCAGATTTTCCTGACTGTCAGCGAATTTGTGAATCTGCGAACGGACGGTCAGCAATCTACGCCTCTGGAGTCACAGGCGATTGCCGATTATGGGAAGCATATCTGCGATTGGAGAATGGAGATTTGGAATTGGAGTTGAGGTGGAGAATTTTTGGGAAAGTGTAAGAATAGGAAGATACAATGGTGATGGACTGATGGTCTCTGGTCTCGATCTTTTAGATGGAGTGATAGACGGATAGAATTACTCCATAAAATTAATGGTCTCAATCTTTTAGGTCTGGACCGAATGATATTCGGGTTTGGACCAGACCGGACCGAAACCCGAAATTGTAAAATTGGTGGACCAAAGACCGACCCGAAATCCAATCGATCCGGGTTCGATCTGGTTCGGTCAGTTTTTCGGTATGGACCTAAACATGAACAACCCTATGTGTGTGCTTGTGACGAAGAAGGTGTTATAGCACACACTCGGTTATCTGTTACTGTGACACTACTTCAGTATCTTCTCTGCAACATAGTTGATTGATTTGTTTGCATAGCTTTCAATTGGTGACTTTTGTTGCACCCCCACGAACTTTCAATTGGTGTGTGTGTGTGTGTATGTAAACACACACACACTTATATATATATATATATATATATATATATATATATATATATATATATATATATATATATATATATATATATATATACTTTATTGCTACAAGAATAACTTCAACAAATGGATATATTGGGGAGAGTATTGCCAAATTTCTTACCGAGTTACCGCGGCTTGGGTAATGCCATTTTGACGAAACCCTTAGCCATTCTTAAAACACTCTTTCGTAAAGCATAACCGGTCTAACTACGAAACGCTAGAACTTTCTTTCACCGTTGTCGAAAACTTCTTGTCACAACTCACAAAGGACCCTAAAGGCAACTTCCACTCTGCCCAAGAGACTATAAACTGTCAACACTTTATGTTCACCTATTCTATGGTTTAAATTGAGTAACATTTCGTTTCTAAAAAGATTAATCTCATCTAACAAATGTTAATTTTATATTTTAGGTGATGAAAGCGGAGAAGTCAAAAAAAAAAGAAAGGAAAATAGAAGAATTAAAGAAGATTCACAATCAATTTCGAAGACCCGGAGCGGAGCAAAGCAATAGGAACAAGAATTAATTAAGAAGAAAGTTGGAGAAGAATTGAAAAAAGAAAAGAAAAAGGGAAATTCAAACAAATAAGATCTGCAGCTTTTCTTCTTAGCTTCAGAGCTCAACTCCGACTAGCGTCACTCATCTTCTTATCAATGCAGCAGCAATATCAAACCAAACGGAGAAGGTCATTTTACCCCTGCGGCGTTCAACACTCGAGCGCAATCCCCTTCGCCTCTGACCTCTTAAACGCCGAAGCGCGCAAGTCTACCCTGCGCTGGCGACAAATTTGACATGTAAAAAAGAGCAGCAGTTGAAATAAAATAATTAATACTCCCTCCCGTTGCAAGAAAGGCCGCGACAAGCCGAGGAGAACTCTCCAAATCCAACAGCTCACTCGAGGTTAGGGACGACGTTAGACTTAGATTCCGAGTTCAATAAATTTACAAGCTGTTCTATTTGTTTGTTTCACTGCGTTTAATTGGGCAGAGGTTGAAGTTGCGTATGCACGTTTTGGGAGTTTTATGATAGACCTAGCGGGGAAGCATACTTCATGCTCTAGAAAAAATGTTTAGCCGAGTTGGGATAGAAATACACCCAACAACTCCTAAACGGTTCTTGTTTGTCAATGGGGTTGGCTCTAGATGTATGCAACACGTAACGGTACTTGCTTCGTTACCTTAACCGCCGGAACAAGAGGTACCACACTCCCCCTCCCTTCGGCCATGGAAGCCTAGGCGTCGTGGCGGCCAGCTGCTCTTGCGATGGTGCCTGCATCAACGCCTTATGAAAATCCTTAATGGTTTTAGTCAGTGACTTTTTTTCATACTCAGTGTTTACTTTGCACTAAAAAGTCGCATATTGTGTTTTAATCATATTTCATATTCTTCTTTTTTTTTCATATTATGCTCTGTTTATTTTTTTTATGCATATTTGAAATTTTGATTAGGATTAGAGAACACATATGTTTATATTTATATTAGTATTACTAATGTATACTCCCTCCATTCTCAAAAACTCTTCCTCTTTTATTTTTTTCACTTCCAACAAAACACTTCCACTTTCTATTAAAAAACCACTTTTACCCTTACTTTTTCATACCCTACCTATCACATCATACTTTTTCTCTAATACTCAATCTATCACATCTTACTTTTACCCATCACATCAAGGGCAAAATTGGAAGTCAACTACTATTTAACACTTCCTTATTTTTACACAAAGTCAAAATAGGAACACTTTTTCCAAACGGAGGGAGTACCAATCTTGATTTCTTATGTGTTGCCGCCTAGTCACCTAATTATCGCCTAGGCGGTCGCCTAGTCGTGTAGGCATCATGGCAATACACTGGCACCGCGCCTCCCCTTGGTGCCCTAATAACTACGGACACATCCAATGTGTCGAACAAAATCATGTCGTCGTTGTCCTTCACACATCTCACATGTTCTAGATCCTGCATCTTTATCACGTGCCTTAGCTAGCCAGAATAACTCTTTATCACTGGTCCGCAATTCTAGGTTAGAGGCATTCAAAAGTTGCATTCTTTGCCCTTGTAAGTTGTAACCTCTAACTTAACTTCCTTACGGCAATCTTATACTCCACTCTTAAAGACCCTAACATCCTCATCACTTCAGTCCACCAACCTCTTATATGCTACCTTCTTAGCTTCTTCCTTACTTCGAACCACAACACGGTGACTTTGTTATGCAATTTGGAATTGTGATTGAGAATATTGTGGTTGGGACTTGTTAGAACATAGGTTTCATAACTCTCTAAACTCCCACTTTTAACAAACATAACAGGGTGATTGGTTTTTAATATCTTAATTTTAAAAAGAAACTTTAGGGCAGCCCCGAAGCACTGTATAAAAAAAGAAGCAAATCCAAAAACCAAAATTAAAACACAGAGGTAAAAGCTTATTGGTGGTTTACTTACCTCCATTAGATCGTAGTTAGCAACAATAATCCTCCACCATATTTCTCATTACTTCAAGTGGGACGCAATATCTCCCTCCTTTTATTTCATTTCAAATTGCATCCCTAGGACATTAAATTTTTAACATGCAGTCTGTGAATAGATAATAAAAGGGAGAAACATAATAGTTTTAGAAAAAATAGCTTTAAAATGTATTTTAAATATAAAAAAGAAATCACCCAAAATAGGAGTAAAAATAGTCATTATCGCCAAAATAGGTGTGACATGTTTTTATCCCAAAAGTAGGACTTTGCATTGTGACAATGTGCCATGGTATATTGGCATTGTACAATGTTTTTTGGTATTATATGTTGACATTATTGGCATTGTATTTCCTATTTTGGAATAAAAACATGAAGGTCTTATTTTGGTTCTTTCTCTATGTTTTACTCTTATTTTGGTCTTTCTCCTTAAATAAAACAACCATTTCATCAAACTTAAATGAGGATCATCCAATTTTTGACAATCTAATAGGAATAAAATACTCCATCTGTCACGTAATTTTCGTCTCACTTTCCTTACTGAGTTGTCCTAAAACTTCTCATTTCCTTTTAAGGGAATGTTTGTGTGGTCCATATATTTTCTCTTACTTCAAAACCATCTACTCCCTCCGCCCAAAATGAAATTTACACTTATACTCCACAAGTTTAAGAAGCGTTTAAAAGTGTAAGTTGTTTGGTGAAAGGTGTGTGATAGAACTTTATTTAAAGGAGAAATTCTCGTCACATTAACATATCCTAAAACGAAAAATAGAAAAGTGTAAACTTCATTTTGTGAGAGAGGGAGCACAATCAACAATTCCAATTTTCTTAAAAATAGTGTCAACTCAACATGGGAAGAAAATTTTAGAATGGGGGAGTAAAAGTTCGGTATCCATAAGTTAGCTTCATTTTCAACATTGGCTGATCAACACTATCCTCGAGCTCTATTAGTTACCTCTACAGTCTACCCTATACACTTCTATAATGTACTCCCTCCGTCCTGGAAAACATGAAAGTTTTGGTTTTGGAGAGGGATTTAAGGGGAGTGTATTTTGGTATTGAATTTCCAAAAATGTCCTTTGATGTGAAGGGTAAAAGTATGATTTGATGGATAGATTATTAGTAAAAAGGTATGATGTGATAGGTAGGGTATGAAAAAGTAAGGGGTAAAAGTGACTTTTTAATAGAAATGAGAAGTGTTTTTTGGGATGGATGAAAAAAGAAAGGAGAAAGGCTTTCTGGGACGGAGGGAGTAGAAGTTTTAAAGAAAACAAAGCTATTCAGAAAGGGATAGCAGCAAAGCTTATTGCACGTGTTGCCTTCCATTTCGATGTATTAGACAATCACAATTCAATAGTAATAGTAATTTATTAGCATAAAAAAAAATTTATAAGGTTAAACATCAATAAGAATTACCTCATTATAACATCACTTCCTCGTTTATATTATAATATTACCAAGCACCCTTTAGAGCCTACACACCTCACACTGTAAATATCAAGCTGAATAACTGAAAACAGATACCTGTGCAAAAGAAAAAATAAATAAATAAATGGAAAACAATGAAATAAAAATAAAATCAACAAAACCAAAATGGAAGGATGTATAGTCATATAAAGAGAAAACAACAATCCTTTGCAAACAAGAACAGACAAGAGCAGGGTAAAGTTTTGTGTCCCCATTACTGCTATTTAAATTCAAACACAAAATTAAACTTAATGACTGGTTCATGTTCATCTACTAATATCTCAAATCAGTTAAGAACACGAATCGTTTAACAAACTAACCTGAGATTGACGCACCGTTCATGAGGGTCCCTTCGGCCAGCTGAGGTTTGGTTTGCATAATTGCCGGTGACACATCTCCAATTATGCAAGGAGTGAAGTCAACAGAGAACATGTGGCGATTGGGGACAAATGTCACAAAACCAACTAGCTAGCCTTTCAGCGCAACATACCGCACTTTTTAACAAAAAAAAAATACACAATTACAAGGGGTACCAAACCCTCATTGGCATTTATAATGTATATGGAGATATACAAAATGTAGTCCATGGTTATATATAGCTAGTCATGAAGCCTAATGTTTCAACTTTCAAGTCATCTTATGTGTTCACTAAGGAGAAGTTTTGAAAATTTAAAGAACTCTTTGTCGAATCAAAGGTGACCAGCACTACTCACTTGAAAGGCCTTAAGTTTTAAAACTTGAAACTCTTATGAGGATTTTACACACTTCTTGTGTATACACAATCCATCTAATAACCAACACTAACATATGAGCGGTTGCATTAAAGTTAGATCTTGAGATATACTTGTGTCTGGAAAGGGCGGATTTTGCAAAAGTGTAATGGGAAACAAAAGATCCTATCCACCTAATCTTGCAAATCATAAAGTGTTGAACAGCATATTTCATCCTGCTTGATTATACTCCCTTTGTCGCATAAAGAAGTTCAGAATTTGACTTCATAGCGCTTAAGAGAAGTGTTTAAAAGTTAAAAGTGTGTGGTTAGAATTTGTTTAGAGGAGAGACAAGTGTCTGAAAAGTGAAAAGTTTGTGGTTAGAAAAATGTTTAAATTTCCTGAGCCACATTTTCATTGTTTTGAAAGGAAAAAGTTGAAGTTTGAACTTTGGGACATCCTAATAAGGAAAGTGTGAACTTCTTTGTGGGATGAGGGGGAGTACTGTTTACAGTTGAATCCAAATGCTTAATGGTCCTGTGAGCTTATCCTCTTAAATATACAAAGCTTGAATTACAACACTTCATACTCCTAGTATCTTGTTGATAGCAATGATCTTCCTCGTTCTCTGCTCAAATCAAATACTTTCCGCACTGAAATGTAAAAGCTACCAATAGTCATTGCATAAGCAACTTCCTCCTTGGAAAGTGTGGAAGCGTGAGCAGTCTCTCACAATAATCTCTCTTTCATAAACTTTTGAAATGGCCTTCAAAGCAGAATGACAATCCTCGCATGTTCTTAAATTTTTGACAATTCGGATAGCAGTCCCAGGAATAGTACTCATCAGTCCAAATGCAACAGCTAGCTTCTCACTGTGCCAGGCGATGGCATGCTCCTTCTCCTCTTCAATAATATCAAATGAAATGTGCATGGTACTAGCAACATAGCCTACTTCGTGAGCCTTTTGCAATACTTCTTTTAATTTTTCAAGAATATCTAAAATCTGTGGATGCAACATTTCTGCAACACGAAATTCATGAACAATGCCATTAACCTCAATCCAGCTACATCCAATATCAGACCGACTTTTCCTCTCAGTCATTGTCTCCCTCAGTTGAGCAACTCTCTCCCATTTACCTAGAGAAGCATACAAGTTTGAAAGAAGCACTTCACCTACACTAGATGCAGATGGCGCAAGGCCCTTAATATAGTCTATAATGCTCTCTCCAAAATCAGAATTACGATGGATCCTGCATGCACTGAGCAAAGCCCTCCATAAAACGATATCAGGCTCAATTGGCATGCTTCGGATTACTTCAAAAGCCTTCTCCAAGTAGCCAGCACGGCCAAGTAAATCAACAAAACAGCCATAGTGCTCAATCTTGGGCTCAATCCCCCATAAAGTCTCCATATTATAGAAGACATATGAACCCTCTTCAACAAGGCCAGAATGGCTGCAACCATTTAAGACTCCTAAAATGGTCACCTCATTTGGACTGATATTTGCATCTAACATCCCGTAAAACAAATTGATGGCATCTTTACCGAGACCATGAATAGATAGCCCACATATCAGAGTCGTAAAATTGTGAACATTCGGCCTTGTTATTTTGTTAAATACTAATTCTGCACAAACTATCCTACCACATTTTGCATACATATCAATAAGAGCACTTAACACATTCGCGGTACATGGAATCCCACTTTTATCAATGTAAGTGTGAATCCACTTACCCTGTTCCAATGCCCCCATATGAGCACAAGAAGAGATGGCACAAACAAGAGCTGCCTCATTAGGCTTTACCTTAAGCTCACACCCAGACAACATATCACGAAAATACCTTAGACATTCCATGTACCTTCCACTACCAACAAAACCAGAAAGCATAACAACCCAAGAAACATCATTTCGCACTGGCATTTTGCCAAACACTTGACCTGCATGCCACATCTTTCCATTTTTGGCAAAGGCACCCAGTAAACTGGTCCATGAGAACACATCTCTCTCGGGCATTTCATCAAAAACCATGCAAGCATCATCTGTTCTGTTGAAAATTCCATACATGTTAACCAACGAATTGGCTACATACAAATTCGATGCATACCCATTTTTCATCACCAGCCCATGGACAGTTGCACCATGCACCAACCACGCTAGGCGGGAACATGATGCGATGAGGAAAGTGAACGTGTAGTCATCTGGAACAACCCGGAAAGGGTGGTCTAAAGCTGCCATTTTGCGGAATAAAATCATGGGTTCGGGAGAATTTTGGAGCTTGGAGTAGGCTCGGATCATGAGATTCCATATCAAGACTGGCGGTGAGGGCAAAGGGTAATTGTTGAACAGGGCTTTAGAAGATGGAAGATCTTTGGCGAATTGATAGCAGTGGATTAGAGAGTCTGCCAATGAAGAGTGGGAAGAGAGTGACAATGATACAACTCGAGCATGAATTTGCTTGATCTGAGATATGGGTGGGCGCTGTTTTAGAAGATGAGAGAGTGATTTCACGGTTGGATGGGGAATGGAGGTCGCTACTTTATCTTGAAGGGGAATAGCGGGAAAGGGAATTGATGAAGAGAAGTGAACGGAAGCTTTGGGGAATTGCTGAGGCCTGAGCGGTTTGGCTCTTGAAAGTAACATGGGGGCTAGCTAATAGACGATTTGGAATGTACTCCGTAGTGGACTAGTAGTGACTAGTGAGCGAGATTTCTCTACTCTAATTTTGTTAGAAATTAATCTATTCCCTATTTGTTCATTTTGATAAAAATAATATTGTATATTGAATTATTGATACAAAAATAGTGTTATTTGATGCATTATATAAACTATTCTCAAAATATTATTTTATCAAATTAATATACAGTATATATTTTATTTAATTATAGATCAAAGTTTAAAAACAATTGACTGAAAAAGTTAAAATTAAACAAATACTTGGAGACGGAGGTAATATTGTTTTTATTAGAAACTAGATCCCCTACTACTGTGTTGTATGGACTGAAATTTGGGATAATTTATTGCTTTAATGTATTTAACTTGAAATTTGTAAAAAAGAAAGTAAAGAAAAATATATACTACTCCCTCTGTCCACCATAGATCTTCTCAATAGCCCTTTTTCTTTGTCCACAATAGATCTTCTCATTTCATTTTTTAACAAGTAAAATACCACAACTACCCCCACTTACTTTATTTATTACACTTTACCCACATCATTTAATACACTCCACCCATTTTTCATTAAGGGTATTATGGTAAACTTTCACCTTTTTTCAACTCTCCTTAAAAACCACCAAAAGTCAAAATGAGAACATCTTAGGCGGACGGAGGGAGTATATCGGTACTTGATTTCACTATAGAGATTTAAAGCATTACATATCAATGTTGAATATAATTATGAAAAAATTAAACTATAATAATAAGAAATTAAAGGTTCTAAAATGTTTTTTTGTAAACAAGATTCATTGTGATATTCGAAGCTGCTAATTAACACCTTCAAGCTACGTCAATTGGTTGCTCGAGAGACAACATATAGTTGAATATGACTAAAAACTGGTTTTTGGGTCAATGATCACAAATACTTCAATGATTGGCCCTAACTTTTGTTAATCGTCATTGGTAGAACATTATAATCAGAAATTATTTTTAAAAAAATCTAAAGACAACTTCAGAATAAATAAATTTGATTTATTCATTAGATCCCATCTTATCTGACCCTACTCTAAAATAAGGGCAAAAATTTAGAAAGTATCACCAACAGTACATTCTTTAAATCCCTACACTTTTCCAGAGTGAAAAAGTGTAACAAAACAAAGATAATACTCCTTTTGTTCCGCATAGATCTTTCCATTAGCTCTTTTTATTTTTCCCACATAGATATTCTCATTACTTTTTTTAACAATTAAAATACCACAACTACCCTCACTTACTTTATTTATTACACCTCACCTACCTCATTTAATACACTCCACCCATTTTCATTAAGGTATTATGGTAAACTTTTATCTTTTTCAACTCTCCTTAAAACCCACAAAAATTCAAAATGAGATGATCTTACGGAGACAGAGGGAGTAATATATTATTGCATGGCATGAAATTTGGCAACACATAACATAAAATAGAGAAATGCTAGATTCAGATACACTTTGGTCACAAAACTTACCATTTGTATATTTAAATGTTTACTTTTAAATTATTTAACATCATTTTATTCACTTGATAAGGTGCACAAATGGCAAGGTTGTGTATATTATGATCCAAGTGGTTGTGACTCTAGCATTTCTCCATAGTATAAAACAGATAGCATGACATTTGGCAAAAGAGCTTAGGCGGCAACACATGGCATGATACTTCCAAACAAAATCTTTCATGACGTGATACATGAGACAACCACAATTAATCTGCTCTACTTTATATATATTTATACATATGATATATAGATTCTTTTACTTTTTTAAATCTCAAAAAAACTAATTGCAAACAACTAATTTTCACAAAACTTTTTTAACAATCAACCAACGCATCAAGCCGGTCAAATAAATTAAACTCATCAGTCATTTAGAACAGTTGACAGACACTCAATTTTATCAAATTAAAAAAATAAATACAAGACAAAAAATGGTGAAGGATTTTAAAGTTTGTATAATTAAAGTTTTTGTTTAAGATAACATTTGAGAATTATTTCAGTAATTTTAAGTGTTTGATAAATCTAATTACTTTATAGTGTATTATTTTAAAGTGGAAAATGAGTTCTAAAAGTATTTTTTGGTTTAGTTGAAATTAAATATTGTTGGCTCCTGTGTTATGGTTTTTGTTTTTCTAAAAACTCATTAATAAGACCCAACACATCGTAATTTATATGGTTTTTTCTGTACAGTCGGCAAAAATTAGCAGGAGCAACATGACATCTGGCGATCAAAAGAGGAAGCCACAAAGAGAAGCGTCTAGTGCATTAGATGGGGATGAAGAGGCAGATTGATAAATCACGCGGCGATTCGGAAGAGGAACCGTCAATTGACAACCTACAAACAAACCAACACGACTGCCTCATCCAATGAAGATGGCAACCATGACAGCAGAACCCTAGCTTTCAGCCCTTGCAATTGATCCATGTGGGGGTTGCGACAACTGTAGCAGACTGGCAGCTACGATTCTATGCGACAGTAGCCGCTATAGGCCTTTTCGGTCATAAGGTGAGAATTTAGAATGAATAATGTGTTGCGTGAGAGTGACTACTACATTATTTTAGAATTAACACTATTTTTTAGAATGAACAATATGTTATGTATATTATAAATGTAATGAATAAATGTGTGAATATGAATAATGCATTATTTTAAAATGAACATTACATTGATATAAAATAAATATCCGGAGTATAACGTTATTTCAAAATTAATACTCTTTTGTTTCAAAATTAACAAACTTATGCTTTGAGTGAAGAGTACTATTCGATTGTACTATATCACTGTCCTATGGGTAGAATTAGGGGTGAGCGTGGTACGGTATGGTACGGTATTTAGTCCATACCGATACTGTACCAAATATATCGGTTCGGTATGGGATTTTACAACGTACCGATCCCGATCCCGAAATATCGGTTCGGTTTGGTTCGGGATGGTTTCGGTTTCGGTTTTGGTAAATATTGGGACGAATATATATACATACCTAGTTTATACTTTGGAATGTACAAAACTTTTTATTTTAAAAAAATTGAAAGTGCATTCAAATAAAAGAAAGATAAACCATTGGAAAATGAATAATTAAATGCAAAAATACTTATAAAACTTAGTTTAATTTATACTTCATATTTCACAAACAAAAGAGAATGAATGATAACAAAATAATATTTCAAACATTTGTTAAATTTTGTTATATAAATATAAAAAAATAAAATTCAAATAAATGATTATATAAATAAAATATTATTTGTAATTCATCTACACTTGAACCAACTTTTCAAAATAATTTTACTTTTGAATGAAGAAATATAAAAACATTGTTATTTTTATAACGCATTTGTATATATGTTCGGTTCGGGATTTTTCGGTATGGGAAGTTACCTCGTACCGATCCCAAGTACCGGACCGACCATTCGGTTCGGTATGGTACGGTACTTTTTCGGTATTTTATCGGTTCGGTATTTTTCGGTTCGGTAATCTCGGTTTTTTCAGGAAATTTCGGTATCGGTTCGGTACGTGTTCACCCCAGGTAGAATGGAAATTCGAATTAAGATCTTAAAATTAGGATAGAGGAGATAAATGCCCAATCGATTTAGAAAATCGTCGGAAGCCCCAGAGTTTCGCTCTCGTCGCGGAAGCATTCTCCTCCACTCTGCACTGCATTTCTGCAGAAAGAAAAAAAAAACTTCCAAAAATCACACGAACTCGCTGCTGCCCAGCACCACAACCCCTTCAACGATGAACATCTATTTCTCTACTGCCGCTGAGGAATCACAAAACCCTACTTATTTCAGCTAAGTCATTTCAATCTGGGTCCCGAATCAGCTAAAAGGTAGAGCCATCCTTTTCTTCTTCCTCTTGATGAATTCATTTCACTGTTCGGAATCTCACCTGTTTCTTCGGGGTTTCCACTTAATGGGCATACACATGCCCGAAATCTCGAATTTTGGATGTGATTGGGGAGGACTGAGATAGAGGGTATGCCCCATTACTCCAGACTATCATTTCATGTAGTATATAGCTCATTTGGCCAAAGGGTCATCCATGGGTTTTGTTGTTTTAGCAGTTCCTCATTTGGTGAAAGTGTAGCCAATGGGCTTGGAAGCATTGAGTACCATTTGAGTGAAAGTTTGAAACCCCCCAATTTTGATCACAGTTTAGAGGAAAAGCTAAGTTCTCATTCGTCACACGGAGGGAACGGGCTTTCCAAAGGCCATTTCCAGCAAAACGTTTCCTCGAGGAAGAGTGCTGCTGGCGATTTCAGAAGCGAGGCTCAGAAGATTCTAGAAATTCTTCATCAAGATGCTCCCGAGTTAGACAAGAAAGTGGCTTTAGATGATCTGCAAGTTAGGGTTACGGGACTTCTGGTGAGGGAAGTTCTCTTAAAGATATTGAGAATCACAAGTTATGATGAGAACAAGAAACATTGCTCCAAGATTGGGTGCATGTTCTTTCAGTGGTCCGGTCTGCAGGAAAACTATGCGCACACAACATATTCGTACCATTTAATGATGCAGATCTTGTCTGAGGCAGGGGAATTCAAGGCCATGTGGGAACTAGTAGATGAGATGATTGAAAATGGTTACCCGACAACTGCTCGGACTTTCAACATATTGATATGTGCATGTGGTAATGCAGGGTTAGCTAGAAAAGTAGTGCAAAGGTTTATCAAAACAAAACAGTTCAACTATAGGCCATTCAAGCATTCTTTTAATGCAATTCTACACGGTCTCTTGGCTGTAAACAATTACAAGCTGATTGAATGGGTATATCAGCAGATGTTGTTTGAAGGCCATTCACCGGATATTTTAGCTTACAATGCACTCTTGTGTGCCAAGTACAGGTTAAGAAAATTGTGTCATTTTCACAGGTTACTTGATGAAATGGAAAGAAACGGCGTTTCCCCTGATTTCCACACATTCAATCTGCTTCTTCACATTCTTGGCAGAGAGAACAAACCACATGCAGCTCTTAATCTTTTGAACCACATGAAAGATATCGGCTGTGATCCTAGTGTTCTCCACTTCACAACTCTTATTGATGGGCTGAGTCGAGCTGGTAACTTGAACTCATGCAAATACTTTTTCTATGAGAAAATGAGGCAATGCGGTTGTTTGCCTGATGTTGTCTGTTACACTGTGATGATAACGGGGTGCATTGTGGCCAGGGAGTTTAGTAAAGCTGAGGAGTTATTTGCTGAGATGGTTAACTATGGGCAGCTACCAAATGTATTTACTTACAACTCCATGATCCGCGGGCTTTGTATGTCTGGGAAATTCGACGAAGCTTGTGCTATGCTGGATGAAATGGAGTCTAGGGGTTGTAACCCAAATTTTCTTGTTTATAGATCTCTGGTAAGTCATTTGCAGAATGCTGGAGAGCTTACGAAAGCTCATCAAGTCATAAGACAGATGGTGGTAAAGGGGCGATATACCCATCTTGTACCGAGGATAACAAGATATAGAAGACCATGAACAGTTCTGTATGTAGGGGTGTATAACCTTTAATTAGTTGAAAAAAACAATGAAAGGTCACAATTGTAAGCATGGTTTCCAATGATTTACAGAATGTAATCCATCAATTTTCTCATTCAATTTATGTATTCTGTGTTAAGGAGTACAATATATACCTTCCCACAAAAACAAATAAACACCAAAACAATGTTTATCAAGAGCAAGACTAGGATTCACTGGTTCAAGGAATACAATATTGACATTGTTTTATAACTATTTCACATTGCACTCACCCCAATGGGTACTATCTTGTGTGTGTTTTTATCTAAATATTAGGCAAATTAGTTATAATTTGTTCACCCGCCTTAGATAACTCTACTAAATCCGACTTTCTTCTTTCCGAGTATAGAGCATTTTTGCCCTTGTACTGGATTCTTCTGGCACATGCTCGCGTGATCTCCCATTCTTCCAGCAATGGCATAGGCACCTGCAAGGGTGACCGAATCAGCTGGATGTTCATCAAATCTCCCTTCCAATTCTTTCTTCACTTCTTCCCCTAAACTTACATTTCCATACACTCTGCATGCTGCCAGAAGCGTACGCCACACAGTCGCATCGTTGTCCTTAACTTGTAAGCTGTTTGCGACCTTTTTGGCTTCTTCTAACAACCCGGCGCGACCGAAGAGGTCAATCACACATCCATAATGCTCAACCTTTGGAGCAAACGAATATTTCTCTATCATTTTTTTAAAAAAGCTCTTCCCCTCGGCAACCAATCCTGCGTGGCGACACGCGCTCAGCACTGCCAAGAATGTGACTTCGTTGGGCCCACACCCTTCTTCCTCCATTCTGCGAAAGAGGGAAATGGCTTTTTCTGCTTGCCCGTGAACCCCGTATGCGAAAATCATAGAGGTCCAACAAATAGCATCTTTCCTCTCTATGTTTTCAAAAACTTCAACTGCTTGTTTTAGCAAACCACACTTAGTGTACATGTCTATAAGTGATGTTCCTAAATTCGCATCCAACAGTACTTGCTGCTCTTTTATGTAGTCATGGACGAATCGACCTACACTCAGACCATCAGAAGGGTTAGAAACTGAAAGCAGTCCTACAAAGGTAGATGAATTTGGAATCACTCCGTACAACATCATTGACCTCAACAAACGGAAAGCTTCGCCCAAAATTCCACTTTTAGCATATCCGTATATCAAACTGTTCCACATCACAATGTCTTTTGCAGCGGTTTCATCAAACACTTTACGCGCCGAATCAATGCTGCCTGTTTTTCCATACATTGAAACCAAAGCAGTACCCACGTTCAAATTCATAGAAAAACCACTTCTGATGCAATACCCGTGTATAGACTCTGCTAAAACCCTGCCACTTGATTCGCCAATGGCAGATGAAATGTTCAAAACTGTAGTAACACTAACATCGATTCCATCTCTGTGCAACTGTTTAAATAGATCTACCACAATCCCATATTTGTGTACGCATAGATACCCGCCCATTAAGGTGTTCCAAGAAACCGAGTCTCTCTTCAGAGGAAATTCATCAAACAGTTGGTGGGCATCACCTATCCAGCCACTTTCACAATAAAAATGCAAGAGACTGTTCATCACTTTGAGAAACAAGACGAACCCAGATCTCAAAAGAACTGAATGAACAGATAAACCAGCCCACAATGCCGGAACGCGGGTACAAGATTTTAGGGCAGAAACAAAGGAGAACTGATCAAGCAATAAGTTTTGTGCCCTCATCTGATTGAAGAGCACTAGGGCTCTTCTCGGGTCATCACTGATTGAGTAGCTCCTGAGCATGGTGTTAAACATGAAAAGGTTTGGGCTTTTAATGTATTTGAAGATCTTGGCTGCATAGCTCGTGTCATGGATCGAATTCGCGAGGAGCTTGCTGATATGGAAGGGGACGAGGTCAAAGCCTGCCTTGATCATGAAGCCATGGATTTGACGGATTTCTGAGGGTTCTTTGCATGATTGCAGCAGAAGAACCAGGTTTTGAAATGGAGGACGTGGGGGTTGATACCCCATTGGAAAGGACTTCTGGCAATGAAATTTGAGTTTGCATGTCAAAATAGTGTCGCAAGTAGGATTTTTCAAGCTTTTTTCCTTTACCAGCCAAGTACTTATATACAAATGAAATTGGATATGATTCCAAACCCAATTATCCGAGGATAAGTATGTCATAACACACACTTGTGAAAGATAAGCTGTGAGAAGTTAAGTTAGCGTGATTTGAGCATGTCAAATGACAAAATATTGCGCCTCAGTGGGTAGATACAAGAAACTTACATTGGTGAATGGAAGCAGGCAAAGAGTTAGGCCTAAGAAGAATTGGAAGGAAGCAATGAGATATGCCTTAAATTTATTGCTCTTACTAAGGATATGACTTTAAATATGAGTTTTTGGAGTATTAAGATTAGCGTAATTGATAGGCGCTTTGGACTAGGGTGTAATTTTATGTACTTGCTAATTTGCTATGTGTTTTGTATGCCTTATATGTTCAATGTTCTCTCCTTACCAATATTTTTCATTAATTGCCCTTAACTTGTTTTGTGCCTGTGTGTGTTAGACTTATCTATTCTCTCTTTTTTTGTGCATTTTGCAATCTTTTTTATCTATGCAATTTGAGTTGAGTCTCTTAAAGCAACTCTAATGGTAAGAGGTGTCTTGGAGAGGTATATATATCTTATTTACATCTCCAAATGATCAAGTTTACCTTTTCAAAAAGTGTGCAATTCCAATGGGGGAAGGTAAATCAAAAGACAAAAGAGGAAAAAAAATCTATCTCCATACATTATTGGAAAAAAATTAGTTGATTTACCTTCTTAAATCAAATTTCAATTATTAGAAAAGAAAATATACATTCTTAAAAAAATCATGGGGAGGTAAATTTGAGGTTTGTTGCCTTTGTTTCTTTTTTATTAAATTTTTAAATTTAAAGATTTTATAAAAATACAACTAGTTTATTGGGAAAAAATTAGAATGTCAGTTTTGAAATAGTTAAATATACATTATGTCTAATTATACATGTAAAACTATAAATACCCAAATAGAAAAAAACTTAAAAATACAGAGTGCAAGATTAAAAAACAAAGTATCTTTTTTTGTTAATTCTTGACTCGTTAAGTTGTACAATGACAAATATACAAATTAATAATTTATAATAATACATTCAAGCAAAAATACAATAACTAAAGTAATTGATGAAATAAATTCAAAAGCTGGGAAAAATTGATATACCTCCCCAAATGAAGAAGATAAAGATACCTCTTCAAAATTGAAGATGATATAACACCTTCTTGTTTACCTCTCCCATTGGAGAATGATTTATAATGAAAAGAGTTTATATCATAAATATTCCTCTTTACCCTTTCATATATTTCTTTTAGGCATGTTTGGTTGGAGGGGAGGGGAGGTAATTCATTCCCTTCCCTTGTTTGGTTCAAAAATATGGAGGAAAGGGCCTCCAAAGTTTTAGCATCAATTTTCTCCCTTCCTCCTAAATCAATCCTTTCAAATCACCCTTGCTGCCCTATTCTCTTCTTTTTCTTTTTTCGTCAAGTTTTTCTTATCACTTTCATTAAAAAATTATAATAGTGTTACAAAAAATAATAATGTTACAAAACATAAATAAAAATAGAAATAAAAAATAATAAAATAAATAATAATAATAATAATATTACCAATAATAATGATAATAATAAATTAATAAATAAAATAAATAATAGTAAAGCAAAAATAAATAAATAATAACAAAAATAAAAAATAATAATTAAATAATAAAAATATTAATAAATGGTAAGTAATACTAAAATAGTAAAATAAATATAATAAAAACAAAAACTAAATAAATAATAAACTAAAAATAATAAATAAATAATAAACATAAAATATAAATAATAAATAATAACACTAAAAACAACAAATAAATATAAATAAGTAACTTAAAATAACTAAACCAATTAAAATAAAAAAGTTGGCACTAAGTAAAAAAAATTTGATAAATAAAAATAAAAAATGAAAGTAAAATAAAAATAAGAATAAAATACCAAATATTACTAAAAATAATTAAAGTTTTCCTTTCCCTCCGCGAGCCAAACAAGGTGAGAGGAATCCTTCCCATCCTTTCCCATTCCTTCTCATCGGTTTGGGTCGATTCGGTTCAGGTCAGATCGGTTCCGGATGTATTTTGGTTTGACTGGTTTTTGTTTTGTTTCAATTTCGGTTTGTGTTTGTATCGGTTCGGTTTATATCGGATCGGGTTTATATCGTTTTAGCTTTGTATTGGTTCAGGTTTGTATCAGTTCAGGTTTGTATCGATTAGGGTTTGTATCGATTTAGGTTTATATTAATTCATATATATTTTAAATATATACTAATAAATCAATAATATCACATAATAAATGTAGTCAATTTGTGATACACTCCGTAGTTATTTTATTATTTAACACGAACGTACATAAAAAAGAACACTAACATAATTGACTAATTGTTTACTCCCTCTGTCCCAATTTAAATTGTCTATTTTGATTTTTGGACATATGTAAAAAAAATAAAAAATAGAGTTGATTTTTCGAAATTGACATTACTTTTTAGTAGAGGTGATGATGAATGAGAAGATAAGGTGAAGAAGTGTGACTTATTTTAGGGGTAGTTTAGGTATTTTATTTTTAAAAGTTTACGAAAACAACTAACAGACAACTTATTTTGGAACGGAGAAAAAAGGCAAATATGCAATTTAAAATGGGACGGAGGGAGTACATTCTAAAGTTTTTCCTCCTAAAGTTTTCGGTGCGACCTTTTTAGTTAACATTCTACTTCGTACAACCTCTATTTCTATTTAACTATCCATTTCACTTTATGTGTCAAATATTTGAATAACTATATATAAAAATATATAGTGAATTAAAAAATTCAGAGTAAAAGATTACCAAATTGTTGGTCTTAAAAAACACTTTAAATGTATTATTTTTAATGTTTTTTGCTAATATTTTTGAAGAGACGATGTTGGTCAAACTTTAAATTTGAAGATGATAAAATACAAAAATGCTTTAACTAAGTTATAAAATACGGAGTAAAAGATTTGTACATGAAAGTAGTTACACGGTTTGCACCCATAATTTAAATATGTTTTTTTAGAAACACATCAACATATGTAATAATATATCGATATTTTTTTCTCCAAGTTCATTTGATAAATGAAATAATAATGAATTTGATCAATTTCGGGTCAAATCAGTTTCGGAT